AATTTCATGTAGAACTATAACTATTTACATAAATAAATGTATGTACATAAATTTATATATTTACATAATTTATATGTCTGAGAGAGAGGGAGAGAGAGATCCTGCCCAGGGAAAAGGTGGGTGGTAGGAAAAGCATTTTGTTTTTTCCTGAACACCTCATTTGTGTGCAACAATGGAGAAAAAGTCTTGTTTCAAATATATGACTGCTTCCATAACTGAAGCTAACGTTGCTACATTAGTGTAGACTTTTCCAGAGGCGGATTCTGAGACAGGATGTGAGTACAAATAGTTTATCTGGGAAGCACAGGGAAATGATACCGGCTGGGACCTCAGCCACCAAAGGGCACTATTAACCGGGTTCCCGCAGAGGGAAACCGGAGCTGCCCCAGGTGGAAACTCTGGGGGGCGATGGGAATGGCGCCCCTGCAGTGGCAAGGAGCCGGTGGGTTTCTACACCAACATCTGAGGGTTCCCGGTGGGCTGCTGCTCCCGGGGTGGGCGTCTTACTTCCGGGCACTCCTGTACCTCTGAGCGGGACTGCATTCAGGAAGGCCGCCTTCTGGTTTCAGAAAACCCCTCAGTGCGGATATGGACAGTTGGATGTCAGCCAGAGAAAGGAGAATGGATCAGTGAGTCCAAACAGTGTGAGCAGGCAACGACAGCATCTGTGGCATTTTATTAATCCCAAACGCCCTTTAGCCCTCCCGAAATTTTTCAACACAGTACACGGAACCTAATGTAATCCTTGCTTCATGGTTAAGCAGCATCGTAAAGAGCATTCGTTATTTTAGCTTCTCTGTTATAGCTGCTATGGAGGTGGTAGAATGGTTGCTTTCAACAATAGGGTTGGGAGCCTCTGGAAACCTCTGAACTCCGTGTCTGTGCTTAGAGGGCTTGTGTCTCTTCCTCTTACCTGTGGTTGTGAGCAGAGTGCCTGCTTCTACAGCTGCCTTCCTCTCCCCCAGGGGCTCGGGTCTTCTGGGAGCAGGAACATAGACAGAGAATTGAGCTCATTGGAACTGTGAACAAAACAGGAAAAGATGGCAATACAGCTCTTTCCCTGCCGCCGCGGAGTTGAGTGGAGACCGAGGTTTGGGTGCATTCAAGATGCGGCTCTACCCATATCCCACCGCCATGGCCGAGGAAGGCCTTGCTGCTGGAGGTGTAATGGGCGTAACACTGCTTTACAAGAGGGGCTGCAGGCCGCCCTCCCTCACCACGGCCTAGCGCGCGGAATGCGCAAAGCTGCCAGGCCTCAGACCAGCGCCAAGCCCACCTTTGTGTAGTTGCATCCACCTGTGATGAGTCTCTGTCCGTCACATTGGGAGAGGCTCTTTGTGCTGAACCCCGAATCTCCCTGATTAAGGTTGACGACAAGAAACTAGGGGAATGGTGGCCTCTGTAAAAGTCGACAGGGCGGGAAACCCCGTAAAGTGGTTGGTTGCAGCTGTGTGGTAGTTACGGATTATGACAAAGAGTCTCAGACAAAGGATGTCATGGAGGAGAACTTCAGATGCAAGAAATGAACAAATAAACTTGGCTTTTGTTTTGTTTAAAAAAAAAAAAAAAAGATGGCAAAACAACCAAGAGAGCTCCTGTGGGCTTGCTGGAAAGGTTCGGTGTCATCCGGCTCCTCAGAAGCCATTTCTACCTCTTCTTTGAAAGTTGGCCGTTCTTTGTGTTGAAGAGGTGACTTTGAGACAAGTGTGGAGTCAGAACAGGTTTGTGAAGAGAGAAAGAATGAAGAGCAGGGAAGAGAGGGGGCACTGAAAGCAGGAGAAAGACAGCAGGAAAGAGAAACACGGAGGAAAATCCAGAGTGGACCCGAGGTCGAGGTCTGCCTGTATGGGGGCCCTGCCCTTGAATGAACCTGCCGTGCGAGCCGGGCCCTGGGATTCGCACTGTGCTTTCCGGGTTTCTTTGGCCTCCACCACTCTCCCCTTCCTGTGCTCTTCCTCCTCGGCTGTTCTGGTGTCGTGACCTCTCCCAGCGCCCCATTGTAGTTCCAGGCCTCAGCCTTCATCACCAGCCCAGCCACAGGTGTTAGTGACCTAATGTAGGAGTTGCTCTTCCGGTTTTTACTTTTGTCATTTCTCTTGGAAATTCCACCCTCATTTAGAATCTATTCACCACCTTCCTAAGTGGGTAATACCCCATTGTCATGTTCTCAGGTCTCTCCTCAGTCAAGTCTGGCTCCTGCCTGGTAAGACTCGGGTGGGAGAAGGGCATTGGCTCAGTGGTGAATTCACCCGGAGGGACCCAGGTGTCATCTCTCTGCTGGGAGGGACAGTAGCAGGGGCGAGGTTTGTGGAGAGCCTCCCAACTGGGGGTCATAGACAGAGAGTCCCAAGAACCAAGCTGGGGCTGAAAACAGTAACGATGCCTTTTCTCTCAATGCATTACGAAATTCCAGCCCAGCTGGTGGGGCTCAGTGGTTGAGCATCGACCCATGAACCAAGAGGTCACAGGTTCGATTCCCGGTCACAGTATGCCTAGGTTACAGGCTCAATCCCCAGTAGGGGTTGTGTAGAAGGCAGCCAATCAATGTTTCTCTCTCATCTGTTTCTATCTCTCTATACCTCTCCCTTCCTCTTTCTCTAAAATCAATTAAAAAAAAGAAACTCCAGTTCAGGAATCTGGGGTAGGATGGATTCCTGGGTAGGAATCAGCAAGGCCAGAGTCCTGCCTACAGGACCAGCATGAGGAAATGGAGGGGCCAATGAGAACATAAGTGAAGCATTGCCAAGGGGTCCAAGCAAGTGAGAGAAGGAAAAGAAGCAGGAGGGGCTCAAAGGTTAGGATGATGGGCAGGAGACAAGGGATACAGGGTCAAGAAGAGCCTTGATGGGAAAGCAGGAAAAAAAAAGCAAAATACCTGAAGGTGTGAACAAAGGAAGCAAGAGTCCCAAGTTTCAGAGGTGGAGCTGTTTGAGGACATGACAAGGTGGCAGGTGGCCACAGAAGTGGGTCATTGAGGTAAAGTCCAGTAGCAGGGAAAAACCAATGAGCTATGAGGCTCAGTATAGGTGCTAGGTGCATGCGTGCAGCAGACTGGGTAGTGGCTACACATTCTTCACACCACAGAGACCACACTTTGAGTTTCACTTTCATCTTGACTAGTCATTGAGCACTGATTTCTAATTTATAAAATGGGGATCATAACACCTGCACTCACCACACTGCTTTAAGGATTTAAATGGAAAGATGTCTGTAAAACACAGCATTTTGCAGACATCAAGATACAACAAATAATGTTATTAGCACTGTTCATGCCCAATAGAAAAAAAAACATCAGATAAAACTTTCTGACCCCCAGAGCCAGGAACGGGTCTGACAAGTGTAATCATCCAATCCCCTGGACCCAGCAGTTATTTAAGAATGGATGCGTGCCCTGATTAGGGCCAATGATCTACAAGGGGAGGGATCCTAGAAACTTCTGGGAAAGACATTTCCTGGATTTGAAAAGGACGAAATGTCCTCTCTTGCTCCAGATGTTGCATCATGTGGATGTAAAGGCTTTACTTTCATAGCTTTCTTCCAGTTCCACCTTTCAAAGACCGAATCCCGCTTCAGCCATGTTTGTCTTCAAGCTTCATAGCTCTAAGTAAGCACAAGACCCAGGATGTCCAGATCTGGATGCCCCACAAGCCCAGGGATAGAGACAGGAGCTATGTTGAATGAATACATAGGCAAGTATTTTCATTCATTTCGAGCAAAGAGAGAAGGTGAAGGGTGGGGGCCGGTGTTGGGTTGGGTTTCAGCTTCGTGGGTGTCTAAAGGGGAGCACCACCACCACACCCGCCTCCTCTCTGGTCTGCCTTCTCCCGCCGCAGCCCAGAGCAGTAGTGATATGAAGGAGTCTCCACCAGATGGCAGCCGCTCAGTCTCTCCCAGAATCCTGCCACCAGAGAGAGGACTGACCTCAGCCATTGTTTTGGGTAGAGTCCTCCTTTACTGGGAGGTTTGATAACTCAGAGCTACACTTAACAGCGGTGGCAGGCCTGCTGGCTCTCAGTCTAGTGTTGCACCGCCTCTCCCACATTTGTCCTGTAAACAAAACTGGGCCACTGTCAAAGCAGCTCACCCTCCTTCCCACTCACAGCAGAAGCTCCCCCGGAATTGCTTTGTCAAAGCCTTTTTTTTTAAATGATATTTTAAAACTACACTTTCAACTTTTTAAAAAGGTGAAAAGTAAAAATTCAAGCAAATAGAACCATTCCGAAGTTGCATGTTTTTATATTTTCAGAGTACTTCTGAGTGATTTGATTTGGGGGGGGGGGCACCTCATTAATAAGAGGACTATCGCTCTGCCTTATAGAACCAGAGACCTTGCAGTGGGCACGTATGTATACGTGTGTTATCTGCCTGGGGATCTCTGCAAAGGCCCATGATTAGACTGAGGTGACTGGTGTCAGAATGACTTAGAAGTCAGCGGCATCTCACTCCAGTTCAGAGGCAACAGGTTCAGAGTCAGATCAAGAACCACACACTAAAGAATGTTAACTTTTGCCCTAACCGGTTTGGCTCAGTGGATAGAGCGTCAGCCTGCGGACTCAAGGGTCCCAGGTTCGATTCCAGTCAAGGGCACGTACCTTGGTTG